GACGGACTTTATTACTTGGTTGCGTTAGCATCGGAGCAGCCACACCATAACAATCAATCCACAGCCGCCATTACTAGCCGTTCATCCTGCTCTTAAGGCAACGCCTCTACTGATTTGTGGCATCACCGATTGGGGCAGTTATCTTCATCTAGATTAGATTTTATGGCAAAAAATTTGTTACATTTTCCTTTCAAGTCTAATAATGCTTGTGATATTTGTGCACTTGCCAAACAGAGTCGGCTTCCTTTTTTTCCTAGTTCAATTTCCTCTATGAGAACTATTGAATGAATTCATTGTGACATTTGGGGCCCTTACAGAATTGCTTCTTTTTTGGGTGCTAAATATTTTTTAACTATTGTGGATAACTATTCTAGATTCACATGGGTTTTTTTTATGCAGCACAAAAATGAAACCCAGCCTTTACTTACCAATTTTTTTACCTGGGTCCACACCCAATTCAATGCCTCTATCGCTACCATTCGGGTTGATAATGGTGGGGAATTCTTTTCTATGCACGAATTTTATAAACAACAAGGCACCATTTATCAAACTTCTTGTACCTCTACACCTCACCAAAACGGGGTGGTCGAGCGCAAACATCGCCATATCCTTGCGTCTACTCGCGCCCTTCGTTTCCAAGCCCATCTCCTTTTACCTTTTTGGGCCAACTGTGTTTCCACTGCTGTCCATGTAATTAATCGTTTGCCCATACCACTCCTTTCTCGCCAAACTCCTTTTGAACGGCTTTATGGCAAGATTCCTTCTTATTCTCATATTCAAGTTTTCGGGTGTCTTGCATATGCTACTGAAGTGCATGTTTCTCATAAATTCGCTCCCCGTGCCAAGCGTTGTATTTTTCTTGGTTATCCGGTTGGCCAAAAAGCTTACAAACTCTATGACGTTGCCACTCATCAGGTGTTCACTAGTCGCGATGTTGTTTTTCATGAAACTATATTTCCCTATGACTCCCCTCCATCCTCTTCTCCAAATTTTGCCCCTATCCTTACTCTCTCGATGCCCGATGCTACTCTTTCCCAACGAACCCCATTCCCTACCCCCATCTCACACACCTCAGTCCTCGACCCAGTCTCTCTCATTTCCCCTTCCAACCCTGTTCCACCACCTTCCGCCAGTCCTCCTCTCGCACCAACTTTACGTCGTTCTCAACGACATCCTATTCCTTCCACGGCTTTATGCGATTATGTTTGCAACCAAGTGACGTCTCCCAACCAATTGTCGCCTTCGTCATCTCGTTCCCTACAAGGTACACGCTATCCTCTTTGCAATTATCTTTCTTATCATCATTATTCACCACCCCATCGCTCCTTTCTTGCTACTATCAGTCAGGATATTGAGCCTACATCCTATGCCGAAGTCGCTCCTCATTCCCACTGGCAAGCCACCATGCAACCTGAATTGGCCGCTTTAGAGGCTAATCACACTTGGTCTCTCACTTCTCTTCCTCCTGGCAAGCAACCCATTGGTTGTCATTGGGTTTATAAAATCAAATGTCACTCGGATGGTACTATTGAGCGTTACAAAGCTCGTTTGGTTGCGAAAGGCTACAACCAGATGGAAGGTATCGATTACCATGACACGTTTTCTCCCACCGCCAAAATGATTACTGTTCGTTGTTTATTAGCTTTGGCCGCTGCCCAGAATTGGTCTCTTCGCCAACTTGATGTCCAAAATGCATTTCTTCATGGTGATCTCCATGAAGAAATTTATATGTCTTTGCCTCCTGGTCTTTCGCGACAGGGGGAGAACTTATTGTGTCGCCTCACCAAGTCGTTATATGGCTTAAACAAGCTTCTCATCAATGGTTTGCCAAGTTCTCCCAAGCTATCCAGGCTGCCAGTTTTGTTCAATCTAAAGCAGATTACTTATTGTTCACGTGTCGGAAAGGCACATCCTTTACAGCTTTGTTGACATATGTTGATGACATTCTTATTATGAGTAATGATATCACTGCCATTTCTGCTCTTAAACAATTTTTGCATAGTCGTTTCCGGATTAAAGATTTGGGTGAATTAAAGTATTTTCTGGGCATTGAAGTCTCTTGGTCAAAGAAAGGTATTTCCATCTCACAACGAAAATACACTTTGGAAATTCTAAAGGATGGTGGTTTTTTGGGCGCTAAACTTGTGAACTTTCCCATGGAGCAAGACATTAAGCTCTCGGATGAAGGTGAATTACTTCGAGATCCATCGCAATATAGGCGACTTGTTGGACACCTAATTTATTTGACCATAACCCGGCTAGATATCACCTATTCGGTACATGTCTTAAGCAGATTCATGCATGCACCACGCAAGCCACATACGGAAGTTGCCTTGCGCGTTTTACGTTATTTGAAAAGTAATCCAGGACAGGGTTTGTTTTTTCCTTCTCAGAACAATTTATCTTTACGAGCCTTTTCTGACTCAGATTGGACTGGTTGTCTAACTTCTCGTAGATCCACCACGGGTTATTGCGTTTTCTTGGGATCTTCTCTTATTTCATGGCGGACAAAAAGGCAGAAAACTGTGTCTCTCTCCTCAGCAGAAGCTGAATATAGAGCCACGATGGGTACCTGCTGTGAATTATCTTAGCTGCGATCATTATTGAAAGATTTGAGAATATTACATCTGAAACCAGCATTGTTATATTGCAACAACAAAGCAGCTTTACACATAGCAGCCAATCCTGTTTTTCATGAAAGAACTAGACATATAGAGATGGATTGTCACTTTATTGGCGATAAAATACAAGACGGTTCAGTTGAGACCAAATATGTTGCTTCGGTAAATCAGCTTGCGGATGTGTTCACCAAGCCATTGGGAAAGGAAGCTATTTCAACTATGATACGCAAGCTGAGAGTTCTAGACATTCACTCTCCAACTTGAGGGGGAGTGTTAAGATGGTCAAAGAAATCCCAACATTTATGGGATAAGTATGTATTGTGATTGCTATAATATATTGTTGTAATTAGCTGTAGTATTTAGATTCCTATTACATTTAGATTACCTAGAATAGATTAGCATGATTGAAGGAATTTTCTTGTATAAAAGTATACCTTCTAATTCAATGAAAATTAATTTAGAAGAAAAAACATTCTATTCTTTTTTACAATACCTAGTAGATCCTTCAAACCAACTCTATTCTTGGGAAGTCAAAGATGATTGTTGCAAGTGGGAAGGAGTTATTTGCAACAACTTAACTGGCCATGTCCTCAAGCTCTATCTTCAAAATCCTAACACTTCATTAGATTTTGATTATGAGCTTCATGACTATTAGTATAAAAGGTCAGCATTGAGAGGTGAAATCAATCCTTCTTTGCTAAATTTGAAGCACCTCAAGTACTTGGATCTAAGTCTGAATGATTTTGGAGGAATACCAATCCCATCCTTCATTGGGTCTCTGGCAAGTCTGCGATGTCTTAACTTGTCTGTCGCAAGATTTGCGGGAATAATTCCCCATCAACTTGGAAATTCTATCGAGTTTACGTTTTCTGATTCTTAAAAGTTTCGGTTTCAGTTTTGGTTTTGGTTTTGGTTGTGGTTTTGGTTTTGGTTTGATGGATGTTGACAAGCTTTAATGGCTTCTTGGCCTTTCCCACTTGGAACACCTTGACCTAAGCTACGTGAGCCTTTCCAAAGCACCCAACTGGTTGCTGGTAATTAACGAACTCCCTTCTTTAGTAGAGTTACATTTGTCTAGTTGCGAACTTGATCTCATTCCTCATCTACTCGATGTTAATTTTACATCTCTTGTCGTCCTAGACCTTTTATGGAACTACTTTCTCTTTAATACCCAGGTGGATCTTTAGCCTAAGTAGCCTCGTTTCTCTTGATCTACACCAGAGTTTTTTTGTAGGCAGGCTTGAAGGTTTTAGAGAAAATGGATTTGAAAGTCCATTTCCTAAAGTTTTCCAGAACATGACCAGTCTTGAATATCTTAATCTATTAAATAATGAACTTGAGGGTCCAGTTCCTGTGTTTTTGTCCAACATAACCAGTCTTCAACATCTTGATCTATCTAGTAATAAACTAGAGGGAAGTTTACCAAAATTCTTGGGAAACCTTTGCAACTTGAGCTTTGTTGATCTGGCATTCAACAACTTTAGTGGGGAATTGCTTATAAGTTCATCTAAATTTGTAGTATATGCTTTGGAGACACTGTTCTTTTCTGGAAATCATCTTTCTGGTCATTTACCGGATGAATTTGAATAATTTAAAATTTTGCGATATTTTAGTCTCAGGGATAATTTGCTTTCTGGTGCCATTCCAGCCACTATAGGAAGATTGGCATCGTTAGAAATATTGGAATTACAAAGAAATCAACTAAATGGAACTCTTCCCCAATGTTTTGGACAACTTTCAAAGTTGAAAACTTTTGATGTATCTAATAATTTGTTGGAAGGCATTGTGTCAGAAGTTCACTTCACCAATCTCATCAATCTGAGGAAATTATATGCCTCTGGAAACCGGTTGACTTTAAAGGTGAGTCCAAACTGAATCCCTCCTTTTCAACTTAAAGAAATAAAACTTGCTTCATGGCATTTGGACCCAAGGTTCCCCATGTGGCTCCAATCACAAAAGGGCCTTGAGGACCTTGAGCTAGCCTACACTGGAATATTAGATGCCATACCAATTTGGTTTTGGAACTTATCTTCCTCCCTTTATTTTCTAGATCTCTCCCACAACCAAATCCATGGTGAGATTCCATATCTTCTTGCTCCTCCTGAAGGCCAAAATATTTACTTGAATTCCAGCTATTTTAACAGTATTTTACCCCATATTTCTTCCAATTTGAATCACCTTGATCTTTCCAACAATTCATTTTCTGGGGATATCTCCCTCTTCCTATGTGATAGGAAGGACAAACAAAAAAATCTGGTGTTTCTTGATTTAGGAGAAAACCTTTTGTCAGGTGAAATTCCTAATTGTTGGACGAGTTGGCAATCACAAATAATCACATAAAGGGGAAACAACAATCTAACACGGAATATCCCAAGATCCATGGGGCTTTTAGGAGGTTTGCACTCATTACATTTGCACAACAACCATCTCTCTGGAGAAATTTCTTCATCTCTACAAAATTGTATGAGTTTAGTGTTGGTTGACCTCGGTGAGAAGGAGTTTCATGGAAGCATACCTACTTGGATGGCGAAAAGGCTTCCATATTTGATTGTTCTTACCCTTCGTTCAAATAAGTTAGATGGCGTAATACCTCTAGAACTTTGTCGCCTCTCTCATCTTCAAGTCTTGGATCTTGCTAACAACAATTTGTCTGGAGCAATACCATGGTGCATCAACAATTTTATTGCCATGGTAAGAAAAGAAAAACATGTGCATTCTATTGCAAATGAAAATCCCATGTATGAAAATGCTATGCCTCCTATTGTTGCTTCTGCACCCTTCGGTAGAAAAGATTTCTCAGAGAATGAAGTTTTGGTGACAAAAGGAAATATATATCAATATGACAAGACTCTTTCTCTTGTGACTAGCTTGGACCTTTCGAACAACAATATATCCGAAAAGATCCCTAGGGAATTAACCAGTCTCCAAGGATTGCATTTTCTGAATTTGTCTGGAAATCATATAACTGGTTTGATTCCAAAGAATATAGGTAACATGGGATTATCGGAATCTCTTGATTTATCCAAAAACGAACTCTGCGATGAAATTCCTCCAAGCATGTCAGGTTTGAATTTTTTAAGTTACTTGAATTTGTCTTATAATAACTTGTTTGGAAAAATTCCATCGAGTGCCCAACCCCAAAGCTTCCATGCTTCTAGTTTCACCGGCAACAAGCTTTGTGGACCTCCACTCACAAAGAATTGTAGCGATAATGGCAAAACACCTGAGGGGAATGAAGGAGATAGCGAAGGTGCTAGATCTGAAGTGGATTGGTTTTATGTGTTTATGACTTTAGGATTTGCAGTTGGTTTTTGGGGCGTCTCTGCTCCTATATTGTTCATTAAGTCATGAAGGTATGCATATTTTCAATTTCTAGATAATGTCTGGACTAGACTTGTGTTGCTACACGTAAGTAAATGTGTTTAGAATGTACAAGTCATGTAGAAGTCTTCTATTTGCGTCTTCTTAATATTATGAATAAATGCATTTTCATGGAATGTATTCTTTATGCATAAAGTTCTTGTGATTTTATAATGAAATTTTCCATATCATGGTTAAAGTTTTTGTCAATAAGCAGCTTATGATTCTGTGTAAAATGAAAAGTCTCTTGAGAATCATTTGAGAAGTTGAAAAACTTTTAAAAGAAAATTTGTTTTCAATTTTGAAACTATAGCAAATTTAGAGCCGGATCGTGGAGTAGTTTTCTGCTAAAACCCCAAATACAATAAAAATGAAATGTGTGTACATATAACTTCTACGTAAAACTTTGTTTTGAACTTGCTTTCAATCAGAATATCTTAAAGAGTATGCCATAGAACATATTTTATCCCATACTTGTCATATATATATATATATATATAATCTTCAAACAGTTCATCTTTTAATTATGAATTTGTAGTTCAAGAAATTGAAAAAACTTGTTGCCACTTATTTAGTTTCATTCTTAACAGATTGAGATGGAAATTAAGATATCTATTCATGTCCTTTTGTTAAGCTCCTTCTTGATGATTCAAAATGTCTTCCAAATTAAGCTCTTTGTCTGCATAATATTGCCTTTTTGGGAGAGGACAGCCTTGGTAGGAGTTGTTGTCAAAACAGTGCCACAAAAGCTTGTGCCAATAAGGATCCTGCAAACACATAAGACTACCGTCAACGATATACTCTACTAACATATTACCACGGTCAACGTCAAAACAGTAATGAAACTTTGGTGTTTGAAGCGAGACCCAGTAGAATAAATATGATAGGGATAATGGTAATTTATATAAAATTCAAGCCACATCAATATATCACTATGGAGTTACACGAATACAAAATTCAGTCCAGCATTACTCTTTTCAATTAGTCCACTCTTTAACTCAGATTGGAATCAACTAAAATAAAAACAAGATTGATGCAAATAGATTGCATGAACCCAGTGTTAATGAGGGAAAAATAGGATAAATTGTCAATAGGTCTTAATAGTTGGACTTAGTTATCATTAAGTTCTATTGAAAATAAATCCTAGTAAAATCATCGTTAAAAATAATTTTTTGTAACGATTTTTTTGCATATGTTGCTAAAAATTGACAATTAGCGACTTTTTTTGTCATGATTTTTACAAATTGTCACTAAAACTTACAATTAGTGACTTTTTTTGTGACAATTTTTAAACTATCGCTGAAATTAAAAATTGGTGACTTTTTATGACGATTTTTTTAAACTGTCGCTAAAACCTATAATTATTAACATTTTTTGTGACAATTTTCAAATTGTCGTTGAAAATTAACTGTTAGTGACGTTTCTTAATAATATTTGATAAAAACATCATTAATTATCATCGAACCTATTAGATAATAAATTTACCTATTAGGACCTACACATAAATCCACCTAATATCCATCCCAACATCAAACTGAATGCAAGTCAACGAGCGTCAAATGCATATATAATTCAGATATACGTAATAAAAATACCATTTTATGTTCTTTTTAGAGTGTAGATAACTTATTCGATAAAATCATATTCCCAGTTTATTAAATTCTCTAAAAATTTCATGCCAATTTAATGACATTAAAAAATTATCTCTATCTCTACTACTTTAAAAAAAGTACGGAGATTCCTAAATGTTTTCTATTTTTTTAAAATTTAAAAATGCCCCTCTATTTATCAACGAGTAGCTTAAGTTAAAGGGGCGATTCATCATCGGCACTATTGATAACAACTGCAATGTTTAGTGAAGAAGTTTCCAATTGCAATCATATATTTTCCATAAATTGCACAAACCTTAAAACGGAAGACACCGACTCTGAAATTTGATAAGACAGAGACAATTAAAGAATTGTTTTTATCCTTGAGTTTTTTAAGTGAGAATTGAGATGAAGCTTTTTTTTTTTTTTTTATCGGCAAAGAAAAATTTCATTAATAATATGAAAGTAAAGGTACAGGAAGATGACATGCATCGAGAGAGATTCGGAAAGTACAAATTAACCCTTACTTTTTTTTGATCGGCAAATAAATCTTTATTGATGAAACATACAAAGTATGATTAGATACATCAATAAAGAGGAGCTTAGAGCTAACACGAAGCTCCAAGCGCCTGTTGGTGAGGAACCAACAACAAGAAAAACAAAAGGTGCTGCCACAAAAGCAAACTGAGAAAAGAAACGCCAAAAAACCAAAAACAGCCTGATGGGCATTCAACCCATTGACAATCAACCCATGTGCATTCAACCCATTGACAATCTTCCCAAGGACACCAAAAAACCAACCCCCTAACACATTGGCATTCGACCCAATGAAGCACCCAGCAAGAACTCGAAACGAAACAGCACCCAGCAAGAACTCGACCCAATTAACCCTCTACTCGCATCCATACAACCAACTCCTTGGCCTCACGATTTTTTTTTTTTTTAATGCAAAATAAAAGATAGACCAAAAAAAATGAAAAAAAAAAAAAAAAAAAAAAAGTTAAGAAGGACTTAACTAGAAAATAAAAAACATGAATCTCCACAAAATCAACCCACGCAACCCAAAACCAAAACACCCAAGCGACTCCTGCACTCCTCTTTTCAACGAACCAACATCTTGTTTTTCAATACCCAATCTGCTGCACTACTCTTTTCAACAAACTGCACTCTACTTTTCAACCCAAATATTTTATTCACCTATGTTGCTGTTGCCCCAATCAAATGTAATCGAATAGTAAAAGACCCACGCCTCAAATGTAATCAAATGTAACATATGCTGCTTCTCCACTCCTCTTTTCAACACCCACGCCTCCTAAAAAGCAACTAAACTCTTCTTTTCACCAGCCCACATAGCCAATGCCAAGACCCACGCCTCTGCATGCTCCGCTGATTCAATTGAGAACGTTCTATGGCTAGAAAACTCCATGGCTGGAAAAACTCCTTTGACCAAAAGACTATGGCCGAAACACATCCAAGGACAAAACCCAAGGGCCAACTTCTATGCAAACACCTAAACAACAAAACTCACACTGGATTAAAGTCACCGAATACCCCCATGGTCGGAACACAGCTTATTGTCCGATCCAAACACTGAACACACCCACTGCAGAAACTTCTAAGATGACAATCCAAACACCGAACAACCGCTGAGACACCTCCATACATCTAGATGAAGTTCACCCCTCTAACTCGCACTCGAAGAGGTGCGCTTCAATGAAACCCAGACAGATCTGGATTGACTTTGATACCCATGTTTCCCCCCAAACAACGCATCGATACTTCTCCATAAATTTGAACCAGATTTCACCCCTCAAACTCCTACTCGCAAAAGAGCGCTCGAATGAAGATCCTAACCAAATCTGGACGTCCTCTATGCCAATCTAACACCAATCTCCTCCTCTATATTGACCCTTGTTCCAGGCATCCCCTGTTGAAAACAACACACTACTGCTATAGCCCCAATGAAACATCTAAAGCGTGCACCAAAGCACCAAAAAATAAAGATCAACAGCAGCACACAAAGCACACTAGGTGGGAAAAATAATGGGGGAATCAAGTTTATTAAAAGGGATAACTAATAGACAAACACAGGAAAGAGCTGAGCTAGCCGACTGCCATAGCCAAAGGCGGCGGCCGGCCGGCTGGCCAAAAATGAGGCCTGGGGTGGAGGTTTTTAGAGAGAGAAAGAGAAGAGGTTTTTAGAAAGAGAAGAAGGAGCACTTTTTTACTAATTGAGATGAAGCTTTGATACTTTTTCTTTTTTGGAAGCTTTGTTCTTTTGGATGGATTTTGATGTTAATCAGAATTTTGTTCGAACCTTTTTTTTTTCAAGTTTGTTTAGCATGATAGTGATGGAACTATAACAAATTTAATTTTTCTATACAACTCATATTAACATTATCATAGTAATTTTGATTTTAATTTCATACAAAAAAAACATAGAAATACTTAAGAAAAATTAGTTTTGTTCGTGCAGAAGGCTACCTATAATTAAAATTTCAAATTACATCTATGCTTTTCTTGAAAAAATTTGGTCTAATAAAATGTTTGCAAATATATATACATATATATATTCATTTCATTTTCTTGTACTTTCACTTTTCACTATTCTTTCTTTCTAAACAAATGAAGTTCTTTTAGAAATACCATGTCATCATGGTTTCACCCAACAGTAAATTAGGAATAAAGTGAAATTTTAAACATGTGCAATTAAATAGGCATACGATCACAATGGTGTTCCTCACTCACCAATTATGTAGAATATTTGGTAATTCATTTGAAATCTCTAACAATTTTGTTCAAATTGTTATTGTCCTTGTGAATTTAAAAAAAAAAAATTAGAACTAGGGTAATTGCTTGAAAATTAAACTTCTAGCCTGAAAACCTTTTTTGTATTCCAATTTTAGATAATGAAAGCTTTTATCTCACCTACTTATTCTATTTCTAATTTTTAAACACATAAAGAAACTCACATTCAAGGTGTAGACACCCCATTTTTGACCGCCCTTAAGACTTGGGCGTTACTGATGGTTTACTTAGTGATGCAGGCTATGCAGAGCAAAGTTCGATTTCTTCGGCAAGAGGAGAATCAAATCCCAACCTTACACCCCATTTTGGACCAAAGCTATTTTGAATGGCTTTTAGACCTTAAAACCATCTCTTTCAAAACATTTTTGAAATAAAGTTTCTACGATGTTCCGAGGCTCGCATTTTTTCAATTGTTGCGCTTTTCGGTAAACCGAGCAAGGACAAAGAGAAAATGAATGAAAGAGAGTTGAAATCTTTGAAAAATCTTTCAAAACACCTTGTTTAGGGGTTTGGAGTTGAAGAAAAGAGGAGAAGAGGGAAGAAACCTAGCTAAGGAAGAAGTTGTGTATGAATCACTAAGAGAGAGTTGAACGG